ATGATAAATGGCCCTTTGTATTCTCGATTGGATAACGTTTTGAGTTTTATATTTTTAAAGATTAATTTGCGTTGAAATTATTGGTTGAAGAGTTATATTGTTTGATGACCGCTGGCCACGCAACTTTTACTATAATGTAGCTTACCAATTTTGAGTTATGTTACAAATTTTGAGTTTTGTAACATTTTTGAGTTTTGTACTATTTTTGATTTAAATTTTTGTACAAAAGTTTTGGTACAAATTATAATACATAAGCAAAAGCAGTTAATAACTAAGTGCCTGTTTTGGTTTCTTCCTTTGAAGTACTTGGAGCAGGAATGAGTTTGGAGACATGAAATAAATTTGATTCTGATTTTCTATGAGTGGTGTGTATTTCGTGTATAGAATTTGATATTTTCCTTAGGATTTTGTAAAGTCCAATTCTTAATACATCTAATTTTTTCCGTTTCAGTCGGTTGCCATTTTCAACATATACTAGTTCTCCGAGCTTGAAGTTATAATCTATCCTATTTTTGTCATAGGTATAGTTTTTTATTGTAGTCATGATTTTTTTTTTACTGTTTTCAAAGGCAATTGCTCTATCATTCTCTAGATCATTACGATCTTTCTTTTTTTTCAATTCCTCTGGTAATATTGATGTATCTTTACCTAGTAATGAATATTTTGGACTAAACCTTGTTACTTTATGCTCGGTTCCATTGTATTTATTTACACAGTTATGTGCTATGTTTGTCCATGCACATTTGTTCTTTTTTTCTTCATTTATTACACATCTAGTTTTATCTACTAAAGTTTGATTGAGTCTTTCATTCAAACCATTCAAGAATGGTGCGTTAGCTGCTGTAAAGATCATTGTGATATTTTTTCTTCTAGGAAATTTTTTAAATCTTTAGAATTTATGCTTGGGTATTGGTCAGTTAAAAGTATTTCGATGATATGGTTTCTTAGCACATTTTCTGTCAGTTTAATCAAATCCCTCGCGTTTTGTGTCTTTGATGTTACTATGTATGCAAATCTAGTAAAATGATCTACTAGAAGGTGTAAGTATTTTTTAGTGGATCGTGAATCACCGAATCCACCGATTCTATCTTTGGAAACCACTTCAAACGGCTTTTTTGCGGGGCCGAGATGTGACATTTGACGAATTTTACTATGTCTTCTTATTTATTTTGTATGCAAATTTCACAATTTTTGCAAGTTTTTTCGATATTTTTTGGTATATCTTCTGCCGTATAGTAAGGTAGTATTTTGCGTTACATTTGTTTTATGCCTATGTGGCAAAATTCCTTATGGATATTTTTTATAAGTTTTTTACAAATCTCTTCTGATAATACAATTTTCTTCTTCTTCCTTTCTTTTCTGTAATATAGATTATCTTCAAATATTAGATTATTTTTATTATTTGTTAAATTTTTGTTACCCTCTTGGTCTTGTATGATATCCTCTACTTTTATTAGATTGACAATTTTTAATTTATCTTCTTCGTCTTCTTGAGGCTCCAATACTGGGTTTTTGCTTAAGCAGTCTGCTTCCAAGTTATCTCTGCCTGGGCGGTATATTATTTCCATGTCATGATGTGATAAGTAGAAAGTGAGATCCCCTAATTCTTCGTCAGTTCTAGCTTTAATATTCATTTTTTCTAGCGGCTTATGATCCGAAAACACTTTGAAGTGTTTTCCTATTAGCAAGTGTTGCCAATACTGTACTGCTTCTTTTATTGCTAGGCATTCTAGGTAAATAGCATTATTTCTTTTCTGAGTTTCATTAAGTTTCTTGGAGAAGTATGCTACTGTTTTTTCTATTTCCGAATTATTATTTAGTTGTGGTTGTTTCATCACAACTGCTGTACCTTGTAAGCTTGCATCTGTGTAAATGTATATTGGTAATTCCGGATCAAAAATACCTAAGACCGGCTGCTGGCAGAAGAAATTCTTCATATATTCAAAGGCTTTTTGACATTCTGTAGACCAGGTGAATTTTTGACCTTTTCTTAATAAATTATGTAGTGGTTCCAGAATAATAGAAATTTTCGGTACATATTCATTATAAAAAATTATCTTCCCCAAGAATTGTCGAACATTTTTCTGATTTCTTGGAACCGGAAAATTTCGTATTGAAATCAAATTATCCTTTAGGAGAGAAATTGAATTGTATTCTATTACATATCGCAAATATTATACGGAATCCAAGGCAAATGTACATTTAGAAAGTTTTAATCGGAAACCTTCATTCATTATTGCTTCTAGTAATTGCGACAAATGATTAATGTGTTCTTCGAAGGTTTTTGAAAAAATCAATATGTCGTCTGTATAGTTGACTGCAAAATCTGATAATTTATGTTTTCTTATTATGTTACTTAATATTCTTTGACATATAGCTGGTAACGATTTTAGTCCAAATGGTAGATAGGTCCAGTGAAAGTGACCTTCTTGGGTTACAAATCCAGTTTTTCGTTTATCTTCTACCTTAAAGGAATGGACCAAAACGCTGAGTTTATGTCAAGTTTCGAAAAGTATCTGCAATTTCTTGTTTTTATTACTAGATCTTCGTGGAAAAGGTTGTGATTGGGGAACTATTATCTTATTCAGGTCTCTGAAATCTATACATAATCTTGATTTTATGTTTTCATCTTTTTTATAAGCTAGTGTTACTGGGGCTGCAAAAGGGCTGTATGATTGTTTGATTAAATCTTTTTTGAGTAGTTTAAAAATTTGTTCCTCTATTTCCTTTTTGTCTTGAATTGTGCATCTATATGGTCTCTTACTGCAATATTTATCTACTATGAGATCTATTCTGGCTTCGTAATCCTTTACTGTCCTTGTATCGTATTTGTCTTTTGCAAATATATTTTTATATTCCTCTATAAGATTTTTTAACATTTTTTCTTCATGATGGTTCAAGTGATTTGTCAAGATTTCAAAGTTTTCTTGATCTACATGTTCATTGAAGTTTATTTGATATCTTTCTTGTGTTTCTTCGAAATCATTAGTTTTCCAGTTTTTCATTTTCTATCAGTTTGAATTTTTTATACAAATCCAACTAGAAAGTCATGTTTAAAGTTTTCATTATTTATTATGAATACATCTATTTTTTCTTCTATATTTATTATTTTTACTTTTAATGTTATTACTCCATCTGATTTATGTACACCATTAATTGTCTTCAAGTTAATCCTTTTCATCGTTTTGTCATTTCTTGGTTTCAAACGTATTCATTTTGAATTTATCAATGAAACATTGGAGCCTGCGTCATAAATAGCACATACTTCTAAGATATCGTTTAGTTTTAACTTGAGCCTAATTAATGGTGGAATCATCAGTTTTTTGGAACATTATTACTCACTTCTACTTCTAATATAGAATTGTTTACGTGTTTTGTTTTTCCTTCATCGTTTTTTCCATCTTTGAACCAGCATTCGGTTTCAGGATGAAATCTAACACCTTTGTTTTTACTTTTACAGATTTCACAAGGTATCTTTTCGCTTTTGTCTTTATCATTGACTCTATATTTTTTTGTTTCTAAATTTTTCTTAGAAGCTAAATGTTCCAATTTACCTATTTCATTATATAGGTCTTCAGTTTTCTTTAGTTTCTCTCTGTCAATTCTATCAGCTACGAAATTTGGCAAGCCAATAGCGATTAAATCTATTAGTGTTCCATCATCAATGGACTTTCTTACTTCTAATAAAAGTTTTTCTTTTTTTAGCGCGTAATCAAGCATGGGGCCGGTTTGATATTTAAATGATATTGCATATCTTATTGAAGACCAACTTTTACTAGAAAATGTATCATAAAAGGTTTTTTCCAATTTTCCAATTCTCCATTAATAAAGTTTCAAGAGTGTATTGCTGTACCAATCGGTAACACCTTTGTCCATGAATGATTTTAAAATCTCGATTTTTTTTTTCATTTTCTATTATATTGAATTTTTCACATTCTTTTTCAAAACTACTTATCCATTGATTCGCGTTTGAATTTTTTCCATTAAATTTTTCAATGGTAAATTCTTTTGCTATTTTACCTATATTTATTCCTGTTGATTGTTCATTAGTTTTTTTAAGAACTTGTTCTAGTAACTGAATCAGTGGTTGTTCTGAAGTAGTTTCCTTACCATTAGTATTATTTTGTTTTTCAATTTTTTTTTCTAAGTATTCATCATTAACTTGTAAATTGTTACCTAGTATCTTTGCATTTTGCCATCAATAAAATGAACCCACACAACCTGGCCATAGTGTTCACACCGACGCTCATTGGACCCATTGAATCCACATACGACGTATTCCCAGACATCACAAGTGATATTCTATTAATTGAAATTATGATAATATTGTGCGAAACTACACTGACCGGCAAAAAAACCGGCCACCCTGAAAAATTTCGCAAAACCAAGCTTTAAAAATTACTAATTTAACTAGTGATCGTTGTTTTATTAAAGAACCATTCACTATTGACAATGAGGTATAAATCAGCAAAAAAAAAAGAAACCAATTAAACGCAGAATTAAATTTATGTAAGAGTTAACGGAATTATTTTCGCGTGAAAACGTTTATTAATTGCCAAACTTATAATCAAATGATTTAAAACACTGTTTACAACAACAGCCTCCTTTATTGGTTTTTTAAAGAGAGTATCGTACGTGGTCTGTTTCTGTTATTTTGTTAAATTAAATTTAATTGTGCGTTTAATTGTCTTCTTTATTTTGCTAATTTGTACATCATGTGTCAATAGTGAATGATTCTTTAATAAAATAAAGATCACTAGTTAAATTAATAATTTTTAAAGTGGTTTTGCGAAATTTTTCAGGGCGGCCGGTTTTTTTGCCGGTCAGTGTATTTTCAAGACTTAGTAGAAACCAGTATCAATACTAATTTATATATAAATATGTCATTGTCATTTTCAGCACTTAGTTTTCTGAATGCACTCGCCGTTTATACTATTGAAAATGTGATTGTTTTTCTTGTGATACGACCAAAAAGATACTAGTAGATAGTATTCTCTCACTGTAACCAACATACTTTTTATTATTTTTACAGTGTAACGATACATTAAACTTTTTTATAACAAAGTGTGTGTGTAATTGGGAACTCTGGGATTTCTGTCTTCCGTGTAAGTACACGTGTAAGGAGTACCACTGGAGCACCTTACATCAGAACTGTGGTCTCCTATAGGATGAGTACCGAAGTATTTGTAAGTTACAGGATCCCAACGTCACCACACAAATTTCTGTAATCTTCCCTCGAAATCAACAGAGTGGGGTTGTTCTGGAAACCATTGCAGTACACGTTTCCATTAATAGTTCCGGAACTGACACCGCCACCGGGCGAAATGCAGTACCAATTGTTAATAATTGTCTTGATATTTGCGTAACAGAAGTCTCTCTTGCTTTCGAAAGACGATTTGCGTAAAGTACCAGAGCAGGAACCATCCTCTTCGGAAATGGTACCTTCGCATTTGTAAAAGACCCCATCGCGCACAATCAGTTGTTTATCTGGAAATATCTAATGTAAAAATTCAGAACCTGCCTATATTTTCAAGTAGATCTTTAAACGTGGCGACTGTGGTACCATCTTCTCCGAATTTTATCTTGAATTTAGTTTGCATTTCACGCACTGGTCTCAAACCTTCATACACTTGCTGAGAAATGGTACTTCCTAAATTGTCCAAACTGCCTAAATGGCCGAAACCACCAAATTTCTTATTAAACTGAACTGTGGCTTGCGGTATGTTTTCGTATACTTCGTGTTCGTAAACGGTACCAAGTGGGTTGACATAGTTAGCGGAGTTACTCACAGATGGATTAATACCTGCTAAATTCTGTTGGACTTGTTGAGATATGGTGCTCCACAGATTGTCCAAACCACTTAAACTTTGCCTAACCCTTTGTTGTATATCCCAGTTTAAGTTTTCGGCCCAATCGTCCCAGTTATTTTTGCTGGCTACAAAAAGAGTTGTATGTAGGTGACCTTGCCGCGCTATATAATCTTACCTCCAGTGCAAGTGAACTGTAAACAACAGATTGATAAAGTGAACTATGTTTTGTTGGATGTACTTACAGAATAAAAAACTGTTAAGAGAAGTACTCGTGAGAATTCCATTGTAACAGTAGGAGTGGCACTGCAAAAGTACACCGTTCCAATGGAATTGTGGCTTTTATATGCGCTGTATATACGTAACAAAAATAGAAAATGAGTAATCGCAAATCAGCACGAGCTTTTACCACGAAGATCCGACGACTGCGTTAAAAATATCGAAATAATTTTTATGCGATAAAGTTGGTACTTTACATATTCATTGAATAAAAAGGTCAATTTACCGGAATTAAGTAAATGGATTTATTAAATGGTAATTGTGAATTTTCGTTGCAGGTTATTTTTAGAATATTATTATAGAAGAATGAGGTAATATTGCACTATCGTCCGTGACTACTGCGTCGCATTTTTGACCTTGTCCATATATGCAACTATGATCATATATGCAACTATGACAATAACGAACCGGTTTCTTTTTATAAGTACATCTACCTGGCACAATGTGTGCTGAACATTACGTCCTTATTAGTTGCATTTTTCTTTAAACATGTTCAGTGTCTCGTTACAGTTATTTTAAGTCGCTTCGCACTCTCTTTTTACGAATGTGTGATTTCAATATTTTCATATCTTCTTTTCATAGGCCATAGGCTTTATGATGGAAGCATTAATCAACAAAATATTTAGATGAAACAAGAAAAAACCAATCTCGTTTGAAGTAAAACTTGTGCAATCTTGTGTGAAGAATTAAGAAGTGCTATAATGTAATACTTAAGTATAAGCATCCAGAAACCTTATTTATAACTTGGTAAACAAGTGACTAAGTGAATTTCATGAAATCTCTTAGCAAGTCATGAAATTCACTTAGTCACTTGTTTACCAAGTTATAAATCTCTCTGCAAATCTCTTAGCAAGTACTTTATCTGAACAAATATCTGACGGTTAAACTTGTGTTAGAACCAGTTAACGATTAAAACCCTAACATGAATAGTGAATTTACAAACAATAAAACAAATTTACACCATGCGTTAGTATTGCTCGATTCTGCGACCTCGAAATCATGTAGTTGTAGCTCGTTACGTTGGTGATGTTTCTTGAAAAAGATATTACACAACATTTGTCTGGGTTAAGAAAGAGATTGTTTTTAGAACATCTGGCCTGTATAGTGTCAATATTATCTTCGAGTGTATTGCAGTCATTTTCATTTATCATTGGCATAGAGTAGGTAGTGCACATTGAGAGAGTCAATATATATATACTGAATGAATTGTGATCTATTCTGAAGATAAGACGACATGAGAGCTATGTATTTTTGAGATAAACCAATCGAGTTTATTTAGCAGTAACTGATGATCCACTCTATCAAGTGCTTTTGTCAGATCAATATACACAACATCAAGTTGCTGATGTTTGTCAAGATTATCACATAAAAAGTGCGTTATCGATACCAGATTGCTAATAGTAGATCTTTGAGCTATGAAACCATGCTGATTAATGGATATTTTATTAGAGATATAACGTGCAGTATGTTCAAATATGATAAATTCGAAAACCTTAGCCATATTGTTAATTAATGCAATTGATCTGTAATTTGTAATATTCCTATAAACACCGGACAGACTTTAAAGATTTTTCATTGTTCCCGAAAATGTGGAGAACTTAAAATTTTATTGAAGCTGATTTTGAACGGAAATGTAAACACTGATCTACAATCACGAAGCAAAAATGATGGAATGAGATCAGGACCTGCAGTGTGACTTGGTTTCAACTTGAATAAGGCCTTTAATATTTCATCTTCAGAAACATGTTTTAAATGGAGAACATCAGTATTAACACCACGTTGCATACCACTAGTAATAGCAGTAGGTGTAGAAAAGTTACCAAAAAAGTATGCAGCCAATTGATAAACAATGGTTTGTGGACTAGAAAAAATTTTGTTCTCACAATTCATTACGGAAGGTAGCACTGTCACGTTTTTCAGTGAATTAAGATAAGTCTAGAATAGTTTTGGATTTAGCTTGAGGCTTTGATCTCTTTTTTAACTCTTGTCCTTAAAGCTGTGAATGAATCATAATATTCATAATCTTCTTGTTTACCTGATTTGTCCATGCTATTATGTATCTGTTTAATTAAATTCATGTATATAGGTGAAACTAATCTAAAAATTCGGTACTACAACGGCTCACCACGTATCGTTCGCTTAAACTAATTAATTCACCCAATTACCAACATCAGTCTCTATTATTCTACCAAAATTTACAGGGGTACATTCTAAAGTCAATATGTTTTATAGAAATATTTCTGTCTGCAACTTTGATTTAAATAATAGCCTTATCAGAAACGTGGTTATTTGAGAGTATATCAAACAATGAACTTTTCACACAAGATTATGTTGTCTTCTGTAAAGACAGAAATTATAATGTGTTGAATGCTTCGATGGCTGGTGGTGTTTTATTTGCTGCAAAAAATTTGCACACTTGCGTACAAGTAAACCTTTCTTTAATTAATGATGCACTGCCTACTATGGATATTATTTGTGTGAAAATTTCTTCGACTTGTAAAAGCTTCTTCTATGTACCTAGTTGTAATCTATATTCCACCTTCCACTTCATATGAAGACTATGAACTGCTTTTAGATATCTTAAGTTGTTTGGAAGAATTTCATAATAATAAGGTATTCATCGTTGGAGATTTTAATATTCCACAATTTTCTGCAAATTCGAATGATCGGTTTTCATCACTTTTAAACAATTTTGCGAGCTTCCTAAACTTATCTCAATTTAATCACATTCTTAATATCCTTAATCGTACTCTTGATCTTATTTTTAGTAATTCAACGGTTCTTGTTTGTAAATCAGACAACCCTTTAGTTGATGAAGATCGTTACCATCCAGCATTGGAATTTCAGTGTCAAATTGAGGTAAAACCAGTGAATAATTTCCAGATGAACCCGGACTCTAAACAGTTCAACTTTAAAAAAGCAAGCACTTTTAAAGTTAAAAATAGTAATCGTCGATACCCATGTTGGTTCAACCAAGAATTAATTAACTGTATTTGTCAAAGAAAATATTTTCATAGAAAATTCAAGCAATACAGAACCCAGTACTTCCTTAATAAATTCAAATTTTTCAGATCAAGTACTTGAAGTACTGGAGGTATACTTCAAGTACCTACTTACAAATACTTGAAGTACTGAAAATGCTTCAAGTACTTTCTAATTATTTGAAATACTGTAGAACTAGATAACTTTTCCTGTTTTTTTAAAAAAGTTTAATATATTTTAGAACTGAATTTTTTAATACTCAGAATTTAAGTACACAATAATACATATTTCGCCACATAAAAAATTGCTTAAACATCAACTTAAATGCAGAATGGTAGCTCACTTATTAATAATACTATGTTATTTATAAACAATATTCTTTTGAAATACTTTTACATCTTTCTGTTGACACAATGCCTTCGACAAAATTAACGTCTATTTCTAATTTAAAATTTAAAATAAAATACATGACGGCGTTGTCTATGTATGCTAACTATTAATTTATAACAAAAACATCGGCGCTGTATGGTATTTTCTCAGGCTTCTGTTGCCTTTTTTTAAAATTTTGAATTTTGGTTCACCACCAAAACATTCTGATTTTTTAATAAAGTTGTGTTAAAAATATATGAATTTTATGAACCGGTTCCGTGTTTAAGTTAGTGGGTAGTTTATAGCACCCTTAATCATTACCCATTGTGAAAGTGCACAGGGCCGGATTTGTGAAACTGAAATTTTTCAGAACAAAATTTTAAGAGCAGTGCGATACATATACATGCTCGTGACATAAAAATGTTTAAGTCACTATGTTGCATTTTCAAAAAAAAACGTATGCATTTTTTAAATAAAAAATAAAATGCCTGAAACGAGAGTCCATTTTCAGCGAAAACTATAACTCTTGAAAAATATCAAGGTGATCAAAGTAATTAGTCGCTTTTTACTTTTGCGGTTACCAAAAATGCTGAGAATTTTCTTGGAATGAATGCCCCATATTCCTGAATATATCTGTCTACCACTTACGTATTTACTATTCTAAAAATTATTAAATTAACCTAAATACTACAGTGACTAAATAGTAAACACTAATCACTACAATGTTTGTCTAACTAAGTATATATGTAACTTTACACTGACAAATCACAAATAATAGGTTCGTAATGCTGTTCCGTCCATTTATACAAAATTTTGTTCCTCTAATGCCACAATACTTTCAGAATTTTCCTTTACATTTTCGATTGGCTTATTTTTTATTTTTACCTGAAAACCCAAAGAAGATGGTATTAGTAACTGATAACTACAATGACTTCAGGGAATGCCTAACAACGGCTTTTGTGAAAATTCAGGTAAATATCTACTAAATTTATTATTGTTAAAATATTTCGTAGGGGTGTATTTATCTAGGCAATTATACTAACGCGAATTTCATTAACTTTGTATTTTTTTATAATGTGAATATGTACCTATTTTGTTCCATTTACGGAAGCGGCCACTGACCCTTTTGGGTATCTTTACCTGATATTGTAAATACAAATGTAAATTCTGTACTTCTATAACCGTCCTGTATTTAAACATCGAAACCGAACGCTGTCTATTATTTCGCACACAACAAAACAAAGGTCCTTCCAGCAATATCAAAGTACAATTCGGTACTCATCAAAACCATACAATCATGGTCGTATCAACTGGATTATAAAAAACATTGGTACTACGAGCCGAGTTTCACAAAACATATTTCATTTTGAACAATATTGGGTTTATGTAATAAGCGATGCAATGTAATACGTAAAGTTGTTCTACGGTAATAAATAAAATCCGCACAGGAAAGATAAATGACACTAATTAGTGTGACTTTTAAAATCATTGTTTTTCTGCATTACGTCTTTTTAAATTGTTGGTGTTTAAATAATTCATACAATTTAACAGATTATTTGAAACTGTAATGTGAGAAAATATAAGTAGTAATAACAAACTAAGTTTTTCTACCGCCCACGTTTTTTGGTTTTCTAATAGAGCTATTAACGCACGCAAATGACGTCACAGCAGTTCGTTAATAGCGGAAAGGCGTTCTTTAATAGATCTGGTGTAATTTAGATCGGTAAGATTGGTAGCAATGACGAGAAATGTGAGGTGAATGTCAGTGGCAAATCTAAACTTAAAATTTCCC